ATGCCATTGGCACAACTGCACCCTGTTGGACTTGTCTTTTTCATTCCTCTCTATACAGACTAATTACAGCTTGGATGAACCCACTTTCTATTAATAAAAAATGGCACTGGTGGAAAGCCCCCACCCCTCTGTTCTGAAGTCTTGGTCAGAATTGGCCAGCTTCAGCTGCTTTCAATCATTAAAAAGTAAAATCTGAGATCTGTCAAACCATGCTACGCTTTGCTTGCTTTGATTGTCATCATGACTGTTTGGGGGAGGGAATTCCTAAGGGGAGGGGGGTAGAGTGAGTGAGTGTGTGAGTGAGTAGACCTTTTGCTTCTAGGAGACATAACTTTACAACTCAAACTCCTTTCCCTCCTTTCTGTTTCCCAGGGAAGGTGTCCTTAAGAGGCTCTCAGTACCAGCTTGGACTGTAGATAACCAAAACATATATCTTTCACTTGGTTGGGATGGCAACGTTTGGCATGGTGTGAATGTGACAGATGTGTGGGGGATGGAAGGGGCTTTTCTTTGAATTATCTATATTAAGCTTGTGCCCGCCAAAAGTCTTCAGTTCTGACTTTCTGGATCTTGCATATAACTCAGTAAACTTATCACTGCCAAGAGAGAGTTGTTGAGTGTAACTGGACCGGGGCCTGACAAGATCTGATTGTGACTCTGCCTTGTAATGTGTCATTGATTCTCATGGTGGCAGAGCCCCCTTAACCTCACTGGGGAAGACAGTAAGGGAGGCTCCAATATAATTTTCCCCAGGGGTCATTTCGTAGAAAAAGAGCTAGGGGAACTCAGCGTCCCCCCCCCCAAAATGACCTCTGATTCTCCCTTTTATAGTTTCAGAGGGTAGCCAGGATAGTCTGCAGTAGAACAGCTAGATTTGAGTCTAGTAGCACCGTAGAGACCAACAAGATTTTCAAAGTATGAACTTTCTAAGAGTCAAAGCTCCCTTTTCAGACACAAGTAGGAATGGCGTCTTTATATCCCAACCAGAAGATGGGGGGGGTATTGTAAATAATCCTTGTATAGGATGCAAAGGTATAATGAATATTGTAATGAGCATTCTGCCCCCAAGTATTTCCCCTCTGCTCTAATCAAGTTGCATGCTTGGTATGTAGAAGGTCCCAGGTTCAATCCCTGGAATCTCCAGGTAAGAGGATCAGGTGGTAAGCAATATGAAAGATCTCTACCAGAGATCCTGGAGAGGTGCTACCAGTCTGAGTAGACAGTACTGACCTTGATGGACCAGTAGTCTGATACAGTATGAGGCAACCTCATGTGTTCACCCCTCCCATTTTCTGACTGGGTTATAAAGACTCAGAGATCTCCAGGGGTCATTTGGGGCTGGAGAGCCACTCCAGCAGCCCAGGAACTGGCACAAATGTTGGTGGCGGCAAGCTGTGCCCCCAGCTCGCCGCACCGAAGTGCTGCAGCCCGGGAGATGCCTGAAGAGGCCTATCACCGGCCTCCCAGGGCCCCTGCTGGAGCGCTGCAGCCTGGGGGAGGCCTGAGGAGGCCTGTCGATGGCCTCCCGGGGCCCATGCCAGAGCACTGTGGCCTGGGGAAGACCTTGATCGTGGTAAGTGAGGGATCCGTGGGGTGGTGGTGGGGGGGCTTGATGGGGGGTGGGAGAGCCTTCCTTCCTCTCCCCATCTCTTTGCCCTCTTTCTTTCCCTCCTTTCCTTCTCTCCTTTCCTTTTCTTTTCCCCTTTCTTCCTTCCTTCCTTTCTCTCTTTTCCTCCTTCCTTCCTTCTCTCTCTGTCTTTCCTTCCCTCTTTCCTTCTCTCTTTCTTTCCCTTCTTTCCTTCTCTCCTTTTTCTCTTTCTTTTCTTTCATTCTCTCCTTTTCCACTTTCTTTCCTTTCTTCTCTTTCTTTCCCTTCTTCCTTCCTTCTCTTTCTTTCCCTCTTTCCTTCTCTCTTTTTATCCCCTCTTTCCTTCTTTTTGTTTCTCTCTTTCATTCCTTCTTTCCTCCTCTCTACTCTCTCTCTCTTTCCTCCCCTCTTTCCTCCTTCTGCGGCCCAACTCTAGTGAGAAGGGGTTAAAACTTTAAATCCCTTCTTTCTTCGCTCCCCCCCCCCCGGCAGGCCGGCTGGGGAAGGGAAGGGGAGGCTTTTGAAGATGCCTTTCCCCCCCCTTTTGCTTCCCCTTCTGACATCACTTCTGGTGATGTCAGAGGATGTGGCATATGCTAATGAGCTATTATGCTAATAGCCCAGTAGCTCATTGGCATACCTTATGCTAATGAGCTCCTGCAGCTCTTTTTCTACAAAATGACCCCTGAGATCTCATTCATACTTGTGTCTGATGAAGGGAGCTTTGACTCTCAAAAGATTAAACCCTGAAAATCTTGTTGGTCTCTAAGGTGCTACTGGACTGAGATCCACACAGTTTGGTGTAGTGGTTAAGTGTGCAGACTCTAATCTGGGAGAACCGAGTTTGATTCCCCACTCCTCCACTTGCACCTGACTGGATGACCTTGGGCAAGCAATAGCTCTGATAAGAGCTGTTCTTGAAAAAGAGCAGTTTCTGTCAAGAGCTCTCTCATTTCCACCTACCTCACAGGGTGTCTGTTGTGGGGAGGGGAAGGGAGTTTGTAGGGCCGCTCTGAGACATCTTTTGGTTGTGAAGGGTGGGGTATAAATCCAAACTCCTCCTCCTCCTCCTCCTCCACCTCTTCTTCTTCTTCTTCTTCTTCTTCTTCTTCTTCTTCTTCTTCTTCTTCTTCTTCTTCTTCTTCTTCTTCTTCTTCTTCTTCTTCTTCTTCTTCTTCTTCTTCTTCTTCTTCTTCTTCTTCTTCTTCTTCTTCTTCTTCTTCTTCTTCTTCTTCTTCTTCTTCTTCTTCTTCTTCTTCTTCTTCTTCTTCTTCTTCTTCTTCTTCTTCTTCTTCTTCTTCTTCTTCTTCTTCTTCTTCTTCTTCTTCTTCTTCTTCTTCTTCTTCTTCTTCTTCCATGAGCCAAGGCACAAGAAGGTATGATTGAGCTGCAGAGGAGCCCAAGGAGAGCTCTGTCAGTGCCTGTGTTGTTCTTTATACCAGGGAAGAGTGAGTTTTATTCATTTATTTATTTTTCTTTCTCCCCAACTGGACTTGGCTCCCAAGGAAATGAGTCAACCAATATTTCTGGTACTTTTAGCTTTTGTTTAATTCAGAATATGGCCCCTGTTTAAAATTAGTTTTCATTCGGGTTTTTGATTGGATATATCCTGT